TGAGCTGCAGGAGCAGGGAATGCTCCGGGTTTGGGCTGGCTGGGGACAGGGAGGTGTAAAATGAGCAGGGGGTGCAGATTTTCTGCCTCCCCCCACATGCATCCCATCAAGGGAATGTCATCCCTGCAGGGAAATGCAGCCCAAGGTGGCTGTTGTCAGGCACTAAAGCCCATCAAATTTATCCCAGTAATCAGCAGGCTTTAAAGGGGGATAATTAGAGCTTCAGCAGCTCAGCAGTGAATTATCCCCACGCCAGAGCTGCTTTATTAATGCAGCTTGTTATTTATGCTGCAGAAATGCAGAAGGGCCATAAAGGAGCCCTGGGTGAAGACACTGCTGCAGATTGGAACTCGGGGGGCACTAAGTCAATATTTGGAAGGATTAGGGGTGTTCTAGAACAGGAGTCTCAGGTGTTTCTGTGCAAGATTTGCTCCTAAAATTAAGAATTTTGGGAAATTCACTGTTTGGATTTGCTAATGGTTAAAAATGGGGAGAGAAGAGGTCGCTTTGCTTTTACCCTGAGCATTTTTGAGCTGTCCAGCTCAGCAGCAGCTGCTTGGCATGGCTGAAGCACAGAGACCATTAATGCCATTTAAATCTGATTATTTGATGGCCATGCCCTGCCCTTCTCTCCTCAAGGAGTTGCTGGATGGAATCACAAGGAGCTCGAAGCAGATGGAGTTTGCCAGTGGAGTTTGCAGCTTCCTACAGAAATCGTGTCCACAGAAGAATATTTATTGTAACATTTTATAAAACAGAGGGGATTTTGGGGAGCTCCAAGACACAGGCACCCTTTATTCTGAAATCTGGGGTGAGTTTTCCTGTGTCAAAATGGAATCTGGATATTCTTCTGGAAGTTTCCACAAAATTCCAAAAGGAAGAGGAAAAATTCAGGTTCTTCCTGACTCCCTCTCCCACCCAGCATCAAAATATCCACGTTCTAGGCCAGCATTTCCAGGAGATGCTCTCAAGACTTCTGAAAGGATTCCACAGGATGTTTTTTTTCTCCTCAAGGTTTTCCCTTCTTAATCCCGGGGAGAGAGGGGGATTTGTGTGTGAAGTGTGACAGGAATGAAAGCAGAAATCCCAGGTTATTTTAGGTGACGTTTGCCAAACGTGCAATGCAATAATTGCTAAGCACGAAAGCATCAGCTGCAATGATCACGTGGTGAATTAGTCGAGCTTAATTAGCTTTGAGCTCAGAGTGGGCTTTGTGCTGGGATGGAGGCTGGTGTCCAGGAGGGTGGGAAAGACACCAGGAAAAGAGAATTCCTGGAGCTGGAACCCCCAGAGATCAGGACAGGGGGCACAGGGAGGGGAGCTCGGGCTGTGGGAAGGGGATCTTGGGGGGACATGGCCTTAAATCCCCAAAGTCTGCCTGAACTTGGGATTTCCCAATGGCCTTAAATCCCCAAAGTCTGCCTGAACTTGGGATTTCTCAATGGCCTCAGATCCCAAATGCAGCCTGAACTTTGGATTTTCCAATCTCAAACTTCTCAGAGAGGAAAACGAGTCCACTTAAAGCCACTTTGCTTCATCAGAGCTTTCCTGCTGGAGTGTTAATTACTGTTTAATTATACTTCACATCCTTGTTTTTTTTTAGTGAATTCACTCTTTTGTAATTAGTTGGAGTGATTAGAATATTTTATTTCCTTCAGATTTTTCTGTTGTCAACGAATTCCCAGGGATTTTTGTAGAAGCTTCTGAAACAGTGGGAATTGTCCCTGACCAGGCAGGGATGGACCTGGGTGGTCTTTGAGGTCCCTTCCAAGCCAAAGTCTCCAAGATTCCAAGATTCCATGAGGCTGGAGCAGCCCTGCAGGGTGTGACATTGCCATGTAGGATGTGACATTCTCATCTAGGATGTGACAATCCTGTCCAGGATGTGACTTCCCATTACATACCCATGTAGGATGTGAAATTCCCATGACATTCCCATGTAGGATGTGAAATTCCCATGACATTCCCATGACATTCCCATGCAGGATGTGACATTCCCATGACATTCCCATGACATTCCCATGTAGGATGTGAAATTCCCATGCAGGATGTGACAATCCCATGCAGGATGTGACATTCCCATGACATTCCCATGCAAGGTGTGACAATCCCATTTAGAATGTGACATTCCCATGTGTGATCTGACATTCCCATGCAGGATGTGACATTCCCATGACATTCCCATGTGACATTTCCCATCCCAGTGGCTGTGCTTCCCTGAAGCTGTTCACTGCCACCTTTCCCTGTGTGCCTCAGCTGGGTGCCAATGCCAGCTCTGGAGTTGGAATTGTCCCTTCCATGGGGATTGGTGCCTGTTCTGCACTAACAGCCCCACAAAATGGCATTTCCTGGGCCATGGGGGGTGAGCATCTCCCATTTCACCCCCGGAGGGCTCTGGGATCTGACTGTGACACCAAAGCCCTGAGGACACTCCTTTCCCTGCCTTGGTTTAGGCACACAGTGAGGGAAATAAATCCCAAATGTTTGCAATAAAAATCCGCTCGCCGAGGAACAAATCGATCCTGATGGGGTAGGGGCAAGCAGATGAAAATTAAAATTCCCCTTCAGCCACCCCAGGAATCGTGCCCAGGGTTCCTCAGCTCCCTCCCCATGCCTGTGAAATGCCCTGCCCCTGGTCTGTGCCCCCAGGTGTCGGCGTTCTCCACCTGGGAGAAGGAGCTGCACAAGATCGTGTTCGACCCCCGCTACCTCCTGCTCAACCCCGAGGAGAGGAGGCAGGTGAGTGGCTGTGCTGGTTTGGGAGCAAAACCTGGGAGA